TAGCTTTTCTGAAGGATTTGGTGTCTCACTCCTAAATAAATTATCAGAGGAATGTGAATGTTGCAGTTTGGAAGTGGATGTGCGTTACATCTTCCTGATTAGTATTAATTTGCGTTTCTGGTTTTCTTTTTAAACTTCCTACTATAAAGCCCTTAAGATGCATTTTAAGACTAAGGAACACTATTCTATAAATACACCTAGTAATTCATATAGATTTTGAGTTTCAGTTTACTCTTGTTGCCACCAAATTACAAACAATTAAAGGTTTTTGTTCATTTTTTCACTTCCTCCACTACTATCACAATGTAAGGGTATATCCTTTTTTTTAATTTTAATGATATAAATAGGACGCATTTTCCTGATGTATCCTTTTCTGTTTTGCATAATATGGCATTTATTGTAGCTTCAATTAAAAAGAATCTTCCTGGTTATCATATTTAACTAACTGTTCTCCTAATTGTGTTTTAAACCGAATATAAGCAAACTTTCAGGATCTTCATTTAATTTTTTTTTTAAATTTTGTTGTATGTGGATAAAAAGTCTCCATTATTTCTTAATAAGGATATTTAAGTTTTAAACTTTAATTTGAAAATTAATTATGTCTAGGATAATGCAATTACATAGGTCTCCTTCATTCCTACAAAACAGAACCAAACTCGTTCAAACATAAGACCTTCTGAAAATTTGTATGTGTAAGTAATTGACAGTACTCTCACAACATTCAACTAAGTAAGTACCCAGTAATCTTTTTTCAATGGTCTTCAGTGGTGGCCTAGCATCTTTCGCTAATGCTAGTACCTATTTGTTGAATGTTTTGTTCTACCCTGGTACTCAATAAAAAGCTTCTGCTTAAAAACGCCCATGACACATATCTATTAAGATCTATGATAATTTCATATTTCTTAGATCTTCTAGATCTGTTATCATGTAAAGCCTGTAAATAGGTGATGACTAATCAATTGAACATAAAGCTGAACAGTTCTCTGGTGCGCCGTAAATATCATCAATGAAATGTATAGAGATAACGAATAGTATTCAAGCTCAAAAGTTCATTAAACAATACAAATTTTGGAGCAGAGCAAACACAGGCCTTTAAAACATCAAAGGTGGGATCAGATGCCTTGGAGGAGTGGGCATTCCCTGCCAACCGGTCACTAACGCCGTGTGCTCCTTGCCATGATCGGGAAATAACGGAAAAATCCGTCGACAATTCAGTGTGTAAATAATGGCCTAACAATTAGTATGAAAAACGTCAGTCAGCATTTGACTTAATGATAAACTGTATTTGCTGACAACATCATTGTATCGACCACAGAACTAACGAAATGACGACTTTAAACGAGACTGCTGATATTCTTGTTTCATCAACTTGTTTGTCAGTAACTAACCTCGTTTAGAAAGTGTTCATATGTAGAGCATGCAATCGAATCAACTGAGAGATACAAAGTCCGTATGCAGGTGAAATATAGCCATTTTTTGTGCTCTGTATGTACCACTTTCCCATTTCAAAGGCTCAGGAAACTGCTCAAAATTAAATAAAATAAAATAAAATTAAATAAATGCCTTGAATTTTCCTAAGGACGATATAATTAATAGGGTCTATGAAATAGAACTTTTACACCAACCTTATTTAATTAATACTTTTATTTTGAAATAATATCTGCGTATTCTCTGCATGATGAAATCCAGATTGTTTGATCTTGGGACCATGTCCAGCTTGTTTGATCGTGGGACCATGCCCTGTGCATATTTATGTACAATAAATCTTCAATTTTGTCTATATTTACTCATAAAAGTTGAGATGTACTTAAATTTGATAAATAAATATTTGCTGAAAACTTCCACAAAGTGCTCCCGTTATATTTAAAGTAAATTCGTGCTGTCCATGATTTAACCTAACAATCCTCGTATTTGCTAAATAATGAGAATATTTATGTAAATATGCTTAAAAAATAGCATTCAACCTTTATTTCATACTGTCAAGGATACATAGGTTGACCTCCTGCCGGGTCTTGTAAATACATTCAAAGTGTGTGGTGACTTGTCCTTTACCACAGGAATAGAATAAGTTTTTTTTTTTTATTTCAAAGGAGACTTAAAGAAGTACATGTAATCCTAGTTAAATAATTATTATTTTTTTCTTTATCGACAAGTTCCTTCATTCGAAGCGACAATGTATCTCGCTTAACATTCAGGACTCAACCTCTGTTCATTAAAGATAGACAAAGTAGTCCTCCTGTTTTAACATCCTGTCATTTTAAGTCTTTTTATATCTTTTTTTTTTCCTTTTCTGTCTTTCAATGTCAGTATTGTATTAGCTAAACAAGTGTGATAACAATGCTTATTTTTAAATCTCATATAATAATTAAATTAAAATAGTTAAATTTAACAGGTTTAAATTTTAGAGTTACTAAATTTAAAATCGATTTATGAAATATGCAAGTTTGATACAATTGACAGTAGTACCTGTACCAGATTCCAGGGAAATCAGACTGAAAATATCTTTTAAAAATATATATTAATTAAAAATATATTATTTTTTTATGAATCTAAACAGTACCAGGAACATACGTCAGAAGCGGAAGTGCAGAATATTGCAATTCTATCTTGTATGATTACGCAAAGTATGAATGAATACAAAGAGAAAAAAATACAAAAGGTCTAACATTTTGAAATAATATAACACATGATCATATCTAATGCAAAGTCAGCAACAGCATTCATTGAAATTGATAAGTGATATATAAATATATGCATCTTGTACACTATATTTGAAACAAATATAATTGCATGTGGACAAAATTATCAAAAGATCACTAGTGCTAATTGTAATGAAAACAGTAAAAGATGGCCAACTATAAAAGACATTTTCACTTTTGTTAATTTAGTTGCAGCATATTTTACTTTAAGAAGAAACAAAAACCTTGAATTTGTTTAAGCTTTTTACAAAAAATATACAGAGGAACACTCTGCAGAAACCACAATGTCTTTCATGCCAAATCGTCCAAATACCACATTATCTGAGTTATGTATTTGAATACAAACATAAAAAACATATATCACAGATGAAAAAAAAAAACATTCCTAATGAGTTTCAGGCATTTGAGGGTATGTTAAGGCAGCATCCAGATCATTATTCCGCAAATTCATATCTTTTTTCTTTATTAAATTAACATTGATAAATCAGAAAAGCAATGGATAAAACATTTTCTGTTATTATCCATTGCATTGACGCCAATGAGTCTTAGGTTTGAAGAAGCAATACCAGCTGGGATAATTCATTTCTGTTTGTTGTAAAAATAATTAAGTAAAACAATCTCTGGGCCATGAAAAGTACTGCTGGAATCCTACTCTCCTGTCACAGAAAAAAATATTCCACACTTTTGCATGAAACCTTATCAAAAGTTTTACATTTTGAAAATAAGATCGAAGAGTTTTCATACATACACGTTAATCACACTATTCTAGAGGCCTTTTCCAAGTATTATAGAACACAAGCTATCGATTTCAACAAAAAATATGTTTCAAAGTATGCAGCGTAGTGTTAAACTTTTGCATCATTTTTTGTTAAGAACGACGGAGAAAAGGCTGATCAGGATTCAACTTAAATAACTTATGAAGCACACGTGAATTTCACTATATATTTCTTTATTACTCCCATTTCATATATTTGTTTACATGAATTCTAGTTCCTTTTCATTTTCATTCGGTGAATACATGATCAACAGTCATGACGTCATGAGTTAGGTATATAATCCCCGTGACAAATACTTCGTTGTTTATACCATCCAAAAATGTCACGATTTTGTTTATATCATGCTTTGCATGTTTCCATTTACTTCTAGGACTTGAAATGAATCTTTAAATATAAATATTAAGAAACCATTTTCTCTAAAGTTCACATTATATAGCTTACTATGAAGTCATATTGTATAGGCAAATTAGAATATATAGGTGTAGCCTTTTTATGAAATTGTCACGCTTCATTTAACAAATGTATTCATTAATCAGTTATGGCATCTAAATACTTACCTTTAACTACCGTAACATATTTATACATAGAATTCATCAAAAACAATTGTTAAAAAGGTTATTATTAATTTTCTATGGTGGTAGGGTAGCAATTTTGTCTAGAATATATTCCAATGTTAAACGTTGATATCCTATTGTGCTCTCGCCCTACACCCGTAGTCATGATTTGAACAAATTTGGATCTGCTCTACCTGACGATGATTACAAATTAATTTGTTTAATCATGATCTCCTGTTCACTTACATTGAACGTTCTCTGGACACATTCTTGTTCAGTTAGGAGACATAAACACCATATTCGGGTAATATTACAATGTTATACTGCATAAATATAAAAAAAAATGACGAGGGAGAAGCTGAATTATCCCGTTTGTTGTTAGGTTTGATAATCAGTAAGCTATCCTAAATTCAACATACACATATGAAATAGATAAACTGAACAAAATGAAAATTATTATTCATGAAAAGTGTTGATACCCGGATGTATTTAAAATAAATGCTTCTCATTTGTTGCCTCTTTTTCTGATAAATTTTATCAAGACATGGGATTACTTGTGGAATATATGTTAATAGATTATACCTTTATACTGTTTTGTGTATCTGAACATAAGAAAGAATGTAATAGTTATAAACATTTTATCTACTAGACGATATTTATTTCATTGTCAAAACAGCAAGCCATTGATCTACGGATAAATGTATTACTGAATGCATCAAAGTGTGATTAATACGTATGCCCCATTCTGTATCGCTCGATGACTATCGAAGCCTTTTTAATGATTCAATGATGCTGGTGATTATCTTTGTTATCTTCATACCATATTTACTTTTTCTGACTAGTATACACCGATTTAAATGTTACTCAATATATTTACTTAAAAGCTATGTTTCTGTGAAGAAATTGTAGAAATCTTATTATCTAAATATATATGAAAAACCTATTGCTACAAAATCATCAACCCTTTGATTTCATTGATTTGTGTTAACATGACTGTATATACTCCTTATTTCATTTTTTGTAATTCTACTTGCTATGTCATAATCAGATTGTTCGCTTGCTCGAGGTAAGACGTGACTATAACCAGAGTTTATTGTGTCTTCAATTTTGACATTGTTCTCTCTTAGGTGATCATAATCTCCTTTTGTGTTCTCAGTATAATGACATTCTAATTTTTCCGCAATTTTGCTTGCTGTATCATAATCGTTCTCTCTATTTGCCTTTTTGGTCCCTACAAATGTGCCTCGGAGGTGATCATAAGTCTCATCTTTAGATGGACTTGCCAAATCGATATTGGGACCATTGGATACTTTTGTAGATTGTTCCAGAGCTTCAAGAGTAAAATAAGAGTGGTCTTCTGTAACATCTTTATGGGATTCTAGATATTTGCTCCATTCCCCGCCATGTTTGGTTTTCATTGTTTTAGATGATTGTTTCTGTCTTCGTTTTCTAGTGTATAAATAAAATTAGAATTAGGTATATTTCCAAAATACAATGCAGAGTAGTACACACAGGGAGAGATATACTCACCTATATGTCGGATTTTTGGGAGTTAGATTTTAGACCATAACTCTACATCCGACTTATAGGCGATCGAGTCCAAGAAATATTGGCAATTTTCTTGACGGCAAAATGTTATTATTTTTTAAACAACCCCGATGTCTATAATGTGCAATTGATTTGTTGAATATTGTTAAATATTGGTGCCAAATTTATTATTGGAACAAAGGTAAATACAATAGAGTATTGATATGAGATTAATTTGTTGAGAATAAAAGATTAAATGTCGATGTCTGTGACGGTATATTCAAAAATATTATTTGAAACACAGGAAAAAATTAGAGCATTCATATGATATTGCCATCTGATTCTAGCAAACAGTTATATACCGACAAATAAGAGGTTTAATAGCAAATCACTCCAAAATAAGCTAAAAAGATACAAATAACTTATATGCGGACCGACTTACATGTATAGGCGAGTATCTATGGTTTACACGTGTGCATAGTGCAAGTATCTATGGTTTACACGTGTGCATAGTGCATTTGAATTAAAAAAAAAAGGTAAACTCTATTAATTTTATAAGAAAAGTTTAATTGACGGACTTGAAAATAAATGTCATGAAGAAATATTTGAATAAATATGATAAATAAATATAAGGTATACAATCTCTCAAAATGTAAAGGCACTGTTAAATTGAGGACTTTAATTTTCTACTGCATCAGTTGCACATCTATGTTAATTGAAGGTAGCAACAAAATTGAAATTTTTGAAAAAAATATGCAAATTGAATTTATAAGAACGTTATGTTAAAAAGTTTGCAGAAAGAAAAAGAAAGAATTATTAGTGTATAGCTTATCCAGGACACGGATTTCCAGCTAAATTCTAGTGAGCACCGTTAATACTTATTAAACTCATTTACAGATATATATATATATATATATATATATATATATATATATATATATATATATATATATATATATATATATATATATATATATATATATATATATATATATATATATATATATATATATTATATATATATATATTTTCATGATAATGATACATAAAATATCGGGCTAGTAATTGTCATTATAAAAATTCTTTCGATGAAACCCATAACTAAAGCAAACCATGTTTTTCAGTGGAAAACCTGTTGGATTATACTTAAGGAGAGTTTTAAAAAAATGAGTAACTCAGTAAAAAAAAAAAAAACCGCAAACCTACAATGTATCTTTCAAACGTTTTCCATCTTGTAAAAATGTTGACCTTTTCCCCGGAAATCCACGTAGAAACCAGATACAGTAGGTTTATTAAAGGAAACAAAATGAAGAATACAGATATTCTTAGATATGTCCAGCAAGATTATAAATTTGGAAAACCTGACTTTTCTTCGGTAGAGCATTTATTTATTTTAGGGTACTGTTCGAAAGATATTTTGAAATCCGTCTTAAAAAGAGAAGATAATAATGCAACTTTGTGTTTCATTATCAAGCCTACATGTATGTCTAATCCAATTTTTCTTATCTTTAAAGGTACCCTTTTCACAAAATTCATAAAAATCCATTTTTTTTTTTTTTGAGAACATGAATAATGATAATCTTCCAAACAGAAACACGCAAAAATTTCTGTATAAGATAAACTCATGCATAGGTATGTGCATGCCATAATAGATAAAGAATATAGGATGCATTTTGGGTTCATCAAGAAGTCATTTAAAAACAACAACAGGGAATATCATGTTCTCCCAGAAAAAAAAAAAACCCAGACAAACAAGTAGGACAAAACAAACAAAGCAACAAAAAACAAACCAGGCTTACCGCATTTTCAGTAAAACTGCACTACATCCTCCAACAAGACACGTTATTACGACAACTACAGGGATAACTATTTTGGAAACATTGCTTTCTTCTAAAAATAAACATGCATGTATTTTGAATATTGAATCAGTTATAACAAAACTAAGATGTAACAGGATCAGCATAAAAAAATACCTTGTGTTGGTAAAGAAGCTTTGTTTTCTCCTTCAGGTTTACAGTTTCGATTTCTTGAATATTGAGGTGCCGAATGAAGGCCACTTTCAATGCCATGTTTTACAGGATTGTCCGTCTTTAAAAGTCAATTTGATATTGTTCTTTTTATTAAGAGTAAATCAGAGAGAGAGAGAGAGAGAGAGAGAGAGAGAACATTACAGTAATCCTCAGATACTGCATACTGAAACATATTTTTTGAAATGAAGCACAAAATGAATGGAAAAGAAATATTTCTTCGAAATGCCCGACGTCCTACAAATTGGAAACAAAGTTTCTTTGTCAAATTTAATTTCATAAAAAGGCATTTACTTTAAAAGAAATTATTCTGAATGTTGTTGCCCTTTCATGATTGCAAAGTATTTAATCTTTTCATTCCACATGTTTATCCGCAACAGGGAATTAAAGTAGTTTAAACGAACACTGTTAATGAAAGTCTGTTCACCTCAACGAACAAAGATGGTCATATTTTAACAAAAAGACCCACTTTCTGACTGACCTTTTTACCTATTAAGGGGCTAGGTTAAGAAGTGTTGAAGCAATTTCGAAATTTTAATAAAAAGATGTACAATTGGGTGAGAGAGAATATGTTGGATATTGTATACGATCGAACTTAAGAAACAGACGTTTGACTTCCCCCTTTTTTACCTGTTCTCATGCACTGCTCAATTTACCATATACATGTACATGCCTATGTATCAGGGTCTCAGGGGCTACCAAAACATGTTTTTGCTAAATCGTTCTGATCTAAATTGAAACTTTATGATCATTAAATTCACCATCGATAACAAACAGTCACAAACACAAAAAAGATTATGGCATTCCAGTATTTAGGGTGTGTACCTATTCAAAATAATGAATTGGATGTTTTACATACCTCCATACAATATACTCTTTCCTTTAATTGTTCAGAACATAAGGCATAAGCGCAGTCACTTGGCTGTTTGCATTTCATGCACTCATGATAATACTTTTTTTCCTTTTCTTCTATTTCATTTCCTGTGACAATAATTACAAAAATTATTGCCTTTAATTAAAAACATGGCAATTCATACATATGTAGAATGTATATTACTTGCTTAAATTTCTTTAAAAAATTCTATAAGTGGGTTTCCTCTGGAGTTTAATGTAATGATAATAATCAAATGCAATCTTGATTTGACAAAGCCAAGTGTACAGATTATTTACACGCTAGATACACATTTTAAATGTACCCATTTACAGCACTTGCTACATGCATCATACATTTATATCGCCATTATACTATATCACTACAATGCTTCAAATATGATTGTATGTATAATTATATGCCTTAGGTATGTACTTATATAGTCAATATAAAATATAGCATTTTATATATATATATATATATATATATATATATATATATATATATATATATATATATATATATATATATATATATATATATATATATATATATATATAAGGTGGACTTTGGCATAAAGTAGACCGCACTTATTTTGAGGCATTAAGTAGACATTTTTCATTTCTTTTATTTGAGACATTCTGATTCACACTTTCACCCAAATTTATTCTAATAGGCTTCAATAAAGAAAATTTTACCCCCTCAGCCCTAAATGTTGCTTCCTGAAAAATATACGACATTTCTGGTCTCCTTAATATTTTGTAAATACATTGGAGGTTTAAGGTAGACATGTATATATTTTCTGAGGATCCCGAAGGGTTAAAGTAGACCAAGTATATATAATGCATAAAGGAGACCAGAATATATATATATACGTGATTATGTAGACCATTTTCTTTTTTCTAATTATTTAAATAAAAAACTACACATGCATAAATGTACTTCTCATACCAGTATTTATTGGTCAATTTGCATTTATCTTAAGTAAAATATTAGGCACTTTAAAACCCAGTATGGTGATTCCTTATTTTAACTAGAAGGAACTAATAGGGTGATGTCTATTCGTAGACAAATTTTCATGTTCTGAATCTTATGGAAATATAGTAAATGACCGATAGTAATTGTTATGTTAAGAAAATATTTCATCCACCACCAAAGAAACACATTGATTTAAAACGTCGTAGTCACATGATGACTTATGGTATAGAATCATCATCTAAGCCACAATCACCTGTACATGCTAGATATGACCTCTTGAAACTATAACCTTGTACTTTTCTAAAAAAAAAAATTGTATTTTAGAATTTTATATATCCAATTTATGTCATATACTCTGAGTATAATGAACCCTGGGATAATATAATCTTTGGAAGTTATTTCATAGCGGTCAAAAATTGAACTTGACGCAGGGTTGTTATACATCCCCAAGTCACAATTATCCCTTCGCCTTGATTTACATCTAGTATAACAATAATGTGATTGCCCGCTTGGCACAGTGGTCAAAGCATTTGCTCTAGAGTAGTGGAGTAAGGACTTGTTCCTTAAGTCATAGGTGCAAATCCCACTGAAGGACATGGAAACCGGTTCTTCCAATGAAACCAAATTCCCTTGTTGCAGTATATGCTGGGACAAGAAAAGACCTCTCACTGCTAAAAAGTACAGGTCTATATTTGCAGCCCTCAACCAGCAAGTTGTGGTGTCTCAATACTAGTGAAAAATTCTTAAAGGATGTATAACAAACAAATAAACAAACAGAATTATGTGTTTATCTGAATATTCATTTCATTTCTAAACCCTATGGCCTTGACCTGTATTAACCTGTGTTAGGATCATACTCTGAGGTTACAAACAATTATTGGTAAGTATTTAATACTTTGATATACAGTGACTATGACCTTGTGCAAAAGACCATTACTACTGGGTCTAGAATATTTCTGGCCCCAAGCTACCTTTGTTTCAAAAGATGTCTACTCACAGAAGACACGTAGACTTCACAATTCCAGTAACTTCATTTGTTGTTGTATAAAAATGTCAATATTTCCCCATGCAAAAAAAAGTTTGTAAAACAACCCCTTTTCTTCTCATGTCTAAGATCTCTATCCTAAATACACATTTGTCACAGTCACTGTCTACTGAATTCATAAATCTAAAGGTAGTTCATACAGTCTTATTTTAATTCATATTCTTGTGTCTTTAACATCATTACACATATAATTTTTCCATGTTTGAATAGACAATAAAAATTGGAAACAATAAATACAATGAATTAGATTTGTTATAACTGTAACAAATAATGCAAATATGTGCAAGTCATGTAAAATTTCATTTTATTTGTAAATGTGTATTACATTGGTGACATTTGTATACTGTTCAATACATGCATAAGGACTTCTATTATTATCAATCTTCACAACATTAGTTTTGTATAAAGTAATAAATAACTAGTATTTTGTACACAAAAATAACATCAATAAAAATAACAATCTTTTACATATCTATAAATATACACAAGAGGAATAAAACACTATTTTGAAATAATCATTACATTTTCATTTCTTGTCAATTAAAAAAAATGAATAGCATTTATTTATTAAACTATTACAACATGTTTTAAACCACAAATTTGTGTTCTAAAAATGCATTAGATACAAAGTGAGATGCACTGATTAACTGTTCATTGTAAGTTGAAATGAAGTTATTACTTATAAAAATACTTTGCATTAAAAAGCAAATCTTTACATAGTTTATTTGATGAGAATATTCCTCCAACAATAAACTGGCAAGCTGTAATACAGACTCTGAAATACCTACACCACCTATTTCAAATAGTACAGTTTGCATTTCATCCATGAGATTATTGACCTTGAAAAATTATAAATGTTTTCTTCTCTTTGAAACGAACATGTGTGCTATGAAAGGGATATATTAAATAATGTTATTACAAGACATACAAGTAATTTTTATCTTGATAAAAAATAGTGACCTTCTCATGTCAATTAAGAGAACCATTTCACACAATATGTGCTAGAATCTCATCTACAAGGTGTTGGCAGACAGGCTACCATACTAATACATCCCTATAAATGAGTTGCAAATATAAAAGAAGTACCTGAAAGTCATTCAGAAAAATTTTTAAAAAGCTGGCTTAAAGATGCTACATTTGTCAGCTGAAATGCATCTTTCACAATACATTCCTAGCATATAATTTTGTGCATATTATATGGTATAATGTTTTTGTTGTTGTTGTTTACAGAGCAAAAATAAAAAGTATATCCATGTACAAATGTAAAAAAAGGGCAAAACTAGAAATATGTCCATAGGACATGAATGCCCCGCTGAGGGTATATTAATTTTTATTTGCTTGTTTATTGTTTAACATCCCTCTCGAGAATTTTTCACTCATATGGAGATGCCACCACTTGCCGGTGGAGAGCTGCAAATTTTGACCTATACTCGGCACTAAGGGCCATTAAGCAGTGAGGGATCTTTTTATGCCAGCACCTACTGTGACATGGGACCTCGGTTTATACAGTCTCCACGTCCCACAGTGGGATTCGAACCAGCGACATAAGGATCAACTCCTTACTCCGCAACTCTAGAGCTTTAACCACTGCACCATGTGGGCATATTAGTAATGCAACATAAAAATATTTTTAGTGTATGAAATTTGATGAGAATATCTTAAAATAGTTTCTTTAACATTGAAATCGAAAAAGTTGGATATAGATGATAAATTCCCACCAAATTCTGTTAAGTGCATAAGCTCACATAAAATTATATTTAATGGTTTCTTTAAAACTAAGCAAAATGCAAATTTAAGAAAAGTGAGGTCCAGGTCACAGGAAAGTTCAAGGTCATACATTTTTAATGCAGTTGAATAGTTCTCACTAATACGCATAAGCAAAATAAGTTTGATAAAAATATTTTGAATGGAAACCGTTTAATTAACACTGAGCTAATCACCATTTCAAGAAAAATGAAGTCAAGGTCAAATGAAATGTCAAGGTCAAAAATGTTGATACAGTCAAATACCTTACATCAGTCTGTATCAGAATATGAAGTTTGACACTAATTTAGAAAAAGTGAGGTGAAGGTCAAAGGAAAAATCAAGATCAAAAAATGTTGATGCAGTTGAATAGCTCTCATCAGTATGTATCAGCAAATGAAGTTTGATTACGCTATCCTGAATGGTTTCTTTAAAACTGAGCTAAACACTTATTTAAGATAAGTACGGTCAAGGTCAAAGGAAAGGTCAAGGTAAAAAAATGTTGATTCAGTATGTATCAGCATATGAAGTTTGATTACACTATCTTGAATGGTTTCTTTAAAACTGAGCTAAACACTAATTTAAGAAAAGTGAGGTCAAAGTTAAAGGAAAGGTCAAGGTACGTTGATGAAATTGAATACCTCTTTTCAATATGTATCAGCATATGAAGATTGATAAAAATATCTTGAATAGTTTCTTTGAAACTTAGTTTTGAACTGAGCTAAAAGCAAAGCGGAATGGAAGGACAGACAGAAGGTTGAAAGGACAGAAGACGGACATGACAAACTCTATATGCCCCAGCCATATTCATGGCAGGGCAGAAAAATTTCTAGTGTACTGAAATTCAAAACTGCAGTAATTGATAATTTTTTTTTTAATATAAATTCTATATCAAAAAACATATACAAACTTTTTTCATAATTTATTCTATTCAAAGCAATAAGAAATGCATCTATCTGCACTGCTTAAAATTGATAAGAAGGTTATGACATAACTAAAATAATGACCATGTCCACATTAAATTTAAAATATAATGAGTGACAATTCACTTCACCTTTTCTTCATTCCATTGACTTTTCTTTCTTTAAAAAATTGTGCTTGTGTACTACTCCATCTCTAAAAAATAACATACAAATGAAAGTTTATGGCACTCAATGAACTCTCTCATCCCTTCCTTTACTGTTCAAGAAAAAAAAAATGCATACATGTACCACAAGCATACTTTAAATATGTGACTAGACTTTATATTTTCATACATAATGTCACCAACTTTATAAAGAATTGTGAATGCATTTTAAAGGTGAGCACATGTGAATTGAATTAAAAGTACCAGTATTTTGCAATACGTAGTATTGCGAGTATCTCACAATTATCTAACTTACAACCGCTCTTTAATTAGCATGGGAGTCAAGGAAGCTCTAAATCTCACAAGATTTCTGGGGCATAACATTACAGTGGTGACAATGGAATGAATCGAACAATCATTATGCTGAAACTACAATGTATTGCCAAGAGTTGAACTCCAAATAGTAGATTTGTCAAGTAAGGAAAGTTTAGAGTATTTTATCAACTTTCAAAAGTAACGATTTTCATTTAGAATTTAATAAGAAAAGTCCGCTTAGTAAAAAGTATCGTAAAAAATGCAACATACATGATTAGCTCCTCTCAAAAATTTATTAGGCTGGTTCAGTGCATGTTTAGCAAGATATTTCTCTAGGATTTCTTTCTTATCAGTCCTTATAAATTCCACAATGATCGATCATGCATTGCATTCAATAGTACACTGCCCCCATCCAACAGACGTTTCCTACCTCCGTGAAAGAGTTCCGCTAATTTAAGTAATCGTGATTTCAAGTATTGTTGTTTATCCTTAAACGTATGTCAATAAAAAAAAATTATTTCGAACAGATCAATGCTTAAGTTTTGAGATTATCACCCTTGGTATGCTTTTTTGTTTTTTTGTATGGACGAGAGATTTGTTTATTGACAAATGCTTTTTCATTAAAAGTGGAACTCAAAAACTAAATTATCTTGTCATTTGCAAAATTATTTGTAAAAAACACTGATTGTACACACAAGTACTCTGAAGTTGATATTAAAAAGATTCTTGAGTTTCTGACTGACAATATCTATGTGGTTTTTAGAGACAAGGTCTTCCAAAAATCTCTTGGAATTTCCATAGGCACCAATTGTGCTCCGTTATTATCAAACCTATTTTTGTATTCATACAAAGCAGAATTTATTTAAAATCTTATACATGAGAAGAAGAAAATACATGCTGTCGCCTTTAACATTTAGATATATTGACGAAGTACCATATTGTCAGGTGTAAAGGCCGTAGTCTTGTAATAGACACACCCCCAAATTTGGGGGGAAAATCCTGAGAGAAATGCAGTTCCTATGGATAAAACGCTACCCCAAAAATGCGGATGTATCTCTTATTTTCACAGCACAACTATTCCAAAGAAAAAGTTTAAAAAGTTAAAATATTCATATTATTTCAAAAACGAAAGTAGGATACAACTTCTAATTTTCTTGGAAAATTCAGTTTACATATAAGCTTTATTTATAAGTATTTAAGTATAGTCTGTATTTTAATTGTTATTTGATTGGTATAAATTAAAAATTAAGTCCTGTATTTTTTTTCCCCTATAACCCTAAGCATTTTACAATATTGTGCTGAAAATGCATTCCAAGCAGGTGTCTGTGTTTACGTAAACAAATCATCCCAAGCGTAATTAATGTCACACTTATGTATACAAGTGATACCAGGTAACTAAAAAGGTGTGTAAAATATTTATCATTAAATAAACTTTACTGATTACAAGTGTATTGTTTAAAATGGCAGTTGTTTCAAAACCAAATGGCTGGAAATTGTTATATAAATAAATATGACCTACATTAGGGTCGAGAGGAGTTAAATTTGGTAGTGATGATATCCAAGTTAGAAAAAGACAAGAAAACATTGATGTAACCATCAATTGTCGCCCGGGAAATTAATAAAGTAAACAATGGAAATGAGTCTTGATCATCAAACCGCTTCGATATGTGTGACAAAGGCATGCATCTAAATGATGGAGACGATAGTCGAGAATATTTTGAAAACTTATAGTCGGACGAAATTCGAACAAAAAACGATACCCTTTTAAACTTTATCAATTCCTCAAGTAAATGTTGGCTGCATAAAATATAAATTGAAACCAGACACATGCATCACCTATTTTCAAAAATGTCTTTCACTTTAAGAATATAAAACACGAACTGTGTAAAGTACGTTTTTACGTTTTTATGCGATAAGTAAAATTCGATGTTCTAAAAAAAGGGACCTGTCGTTTTTTCGATAGTAAATGATAAGCAACTTTATGTATTAAATATGAAAAACATATATATTTTATAGATTCACTTTATGGAAGTAAATATATTGTGTATCTCGTAATTTATAAAGGGAAAGAACATTCTGATAAACAATGTTTTTAATGTTTAAAAAACCTTTAATTCTGAATAACTTCTCCCACCTCAATCCCCATATACCAACACTTAAACTTATATGTATAGAGCAGCCCGGTCCTTGGGGCTGCAATAATTTATTTTAAATATACATATATATATATTTAATTTTGAATAATATTTTAATGGAAATATCTTTTTATATTTCTGTTTGTTGATTTATTTATCAGCGATCTGTCATACGTGACTATCATTCAAGAATTGGGGAATAATATGTAATAAACTTACAATGTGGTAACAGTGAAAATCACTCATAAGAGTTAAGAAAAAATGTCCAGAAAAAGGGGTTGAATTTAGTTCCTATGTAATGCACGCACCCACACTTTTGAACAATTTTTCTGAAAAAAAAAGTGCGTCCAATACACGTGACTTTACGGTATTAATTATTTCCATTCATATTTCAACACAATTATCCCAATGAGCTTGATAATTTAAAGATACCACAGAGTCCAGGGATCGACATTAACCGTTGTCCGATTGCCCGGGGCAAGTTAATTCCCAGTTAAGGCAAGTGAAAATGCCAATGTACTTGTCCGATTGGGCAAGTGAATATTTCAGATAAAAACTTTTATTTTTTTTTTCATATCTTGCATTAGTTTTAAACAAAACAATAACACTTTCTGCCAAGAACATATCAAAAATAGTTTCTTAAACAAGAATAGTTTGTTTTTTCACTCAGAGAACACAAGTTATTCTCGGCAAACAATGTATTCTGATCAGGATATGTATGTTTCAAAACATAACAACTGTTTTCCTTTAGTGTGGCCTCAGTTTTCCAGAGAAAAAAATCAAAATATTATATATATATTTAAAATATGAATTTTATTTTAAAGAAAATATATACTGCTGCATGGCAGTGCAAGTTTTCAGGATAAATGAAAGGACAGTGGTATACATGTACAGAATTTACAATTGTAGGATAACTGACACATCACATTTTTTCTTGGCAGTTAACTTGCCAATAGAAAGTACTTTATTGCACATAAATTAAATTACCCGTATTTTCTTCTTTCTAAGGTTTGGGCAACCAAGTTTTGCATTTGGACAAGTCAAAATTTGTTGTCCCAAAGGACAAGTGAATATGAAAGTTAAAGTCTATCCCTGGAGTCTGACACATCTGTTTCATATTTTGATAATTTTCTATAAAAAGAGGTTAATACCTAACAACAAACCTTTATGACTAACTTTTCAATCATTAACTTCCCTTACTTATGCAGCAATATACCCTCATCACCTGCATACAGGGTTCATATCTCTCTGTTGATTCGATACGCAAGAGCATGCTCTACCTATGAACAATTTCTAAAACAAAGTAAGTTATTGACAAACAAGTTGATGAAACAAGAATATCATCAGTCTTGTTTAAAGTCATCATTACAATAGTTATATGGTCGATACAATGACCTTGATGCTTGTCAGAAAATACAATCTATCATTAAGTCAAGTGCTGATTGACGTTTTAAATCTTATTTCCAGGCCATTATTTACACACTGAATTGCATACAGATTTTTCTAATTTTTCCCGGATCATGACAGGAAGCACACCGGGCGTGCGACTGGTCAGCAGGGGATGGTCACTCCTCCATGGCACCTGATCCCACCTCTGATGTTTTAGAGGTCCGTATTGTTCTGCTCCTGAATTGTATTGTTTGAACGAACTTTTGAGCTTTAATACTGTTTGTTATCTCCATATATTTCATAAACCTGCTAGTAGGACATGTTCAATATACTGGTCTATAACTGTTTATTTGGATGCACTAATCAGCTCAAAATTTAAATAATAAATACCAAGAATATCTGGGAAAAAAAACACACTGGAAAAATCTTATAATAATACGAAGAAAGAAAAATGGATCTCTAATATATAGGCATCTGATCACTGCACGTCAGGATTCTAAATGAAACACTGACTCTTTCCCCTCGTAATAATTTTAAAGATTCCACTATTTTTTTTTAGAATAAATTTGTACAATCTAGGAAGTGTCTTCTCTCAAAGGGATTGATGATTCATTTGTTTTCAATCATCCTAATTAAAACTAGATTTTATAAAACGAAATATGGAGACAATGAATAGTATTTAAGCTCAAAAGTCCATTCAAATTATGATTTGAGCAGTGCAACCTCTACCTCAAAAACATCCGAGGTGGGATCAGGTGCCTTAGAGGAGTGAGTATCCACTGCTGACTGTCACTCTCACTGCCAGACTCCAGATGATTCTTCATTAAACCTTGGCTGTAACTGTAGGTAACTTCATATGTGTCTCCACCTATCATTAGTGATACAACTGCCTGTTTACTGCTTAGAGAAAAGTAACACTTAGAAAAGGATAATAAACAAGAATCTGATATACCATGAAAATCCTTAATAGTAGTAAGGAAACACTTAAAACATTACTTTCCAAGAAACATGCATTTAATATTACATGTACATAATAAATTTATAAAATCTTAATTAGGGATGGAAATAAATAATATCCAAACATGAAACAGATGTGTCAGACTCTGTGGTATCTTTTATTTCAAGCTCACTGGTATAATATATATAGTTGACATATGAATGGAAATAACTGTTGTTAATTGATAATATATCATCGATATATCTCACTGTCGAGTTCAAGACCACAGCAAGTGTTTTCTTCTTCTCATGTGTAAGATTTTGAATAAATTCTGCTTCATATGAATATAAAAAGAGGTCTGCTAGCCTAACAACAAGTTGCAATTGGTACCCATGGGAATTCTGACAGATTATTGGAAGACCTGGTCTCCAAAAACTACATATATATTGTCAATCAGAGACTCAAGCATCCAAAAACCTGTATTACTAAAGTATAGCTCAATATGATCACCAAAATCATCATTGCTTGACATAATATGCATGTATAATCTTTCTTTAATATTAATTACATTTTAAAAGGCCCTAATTAAGCCATCATTTTGACATTTATTTAATCATGATTGTGTATACTTTATCAACAATCTCTGCCACTTTCATGCGGATATGGCTTCTTTTTGTGTTTCTCTTGTTGAAGAGCTACAATCTCCAAACTTGTGTATTGAGTATAATAACTCATCCTTCTCATATTGGCCTAGGTGAAAACAGATAATACTACAGGTCACTTACTCAGAAGGATTACTTGATTATGTTGATCATGTTGATTGATGGTAGTCTGCACAGTAGCGCTAGCAGTTTCTTTTTTACCATTTCACTGTGAAAAAAAAATGTGGAACTTATTAAATATTAAAAATATTTACCACTACATTGGCATTGGTGATATGGTCATTGCTCTTTTTTGTAACAAATCAATTAAACACTGCACCTTTATATAGTATGAATTATATTGCATGTACTTTCGATCAATCTATTTAAAAAACATCAGATTAATTACCAATAGGTTCTTGAATTTTTAGTTTCTGTTGCATTGGGCTGAAATTACGAGAAAAAACTTCATTTTGAACAAGCATTTATATGTACAGTATTGTACTTGCATACTTAAATACCTACTATAATTAAGATTAAACAAGCATTTTGAGAGTATTGCATTAGCAATACTAGTCCCCTACCGGCAAGTGTAATCTGGTTCCCACTAAAAATTGAATTGCCACAATTCCATTAAAAATCATTGATTAAGAAGCATAACAAAATGCAAACTTGAACTGTAACTCATCAAGATACACTTACATACCAAAACTCAGCTCAATATCTGCAAGCGTTTAGAAAAAAGTGCGGAAAACAAATGGGACAGACTGAAAGAGGGACAGACAGACAGATGGACAGACTCAGAGGAAACCTATAATTCCCTGGTTTCACCGGTAGGGGACTAATAAAAAAGTGAGAAAAAGCCACCCTGTTAAGCCCTACTTTCGTCTCCCATGGTGAGCAGTGGAAAAAGGTCTTATGCTTGGATATGTTGTACATGTACTTTGTATCAATCTGTACATGCATAATCCATTGGCTAATGAAAGAGGCAATGTATTCGTAATGTAAACTTTTAAATGTAGTGGTAATGTGTACATTTTTTGCAGCGGTAATGAGTATGTAGCGGTAAATAATTACCATTTTGAAAATGTAGCGGTAATGATATTCACCTGGATAAAGAAATGGTCTATCTATTCCAATCACATTTTTGACAAGATAGGGCACTTCTTATTTGCTGTACATATAATTGTTTTCATTTTCACACTGCTTTTTGGGAAGATTGGGAAAATAAAGACCTTTTAGGAAATTTTAGAATAACCATTATACGTACTTTAAAATCATATATATTGGGTTTCCGGTCTTCGTTATCAACTAAATTTGTTTTATAAAACAGAGGAATATGAATAGCAAGTTAAGTTATTACCGGTATATATCCAGCTATATTTTCTTTAATTTTTTGGAGAAATTACTATTGGGAAAATTAACATATTTATTGGGAAAAAAGGCACCTTTTTTTGAATTGGGAGTGGGGCCCTTGAACGGCCCCAATTATAGACAATTGAGAGCCCTGTTTCATATTTGAGAGGTCGATTTATAACCTTCGTTCTTCATTTTTTTAAGCTTTGGGTGTGTGTTGATTACAACACATATGTTAAGTGACTTATCTTTAAGTTATTGTCAAAGAAATTTCAAGTCTGTTAAAATCTTAATGTTTAAATAACTTGTGCCCTGTACGAAATAAGATTTTGTAGCAAATAATCTTTACAACCGAGCTGCAATTTTCCCCAAGTTATCAGGCTGAAAAAGGGGGTGCATATTTAAACCAATGCATATTATATTCGGCAAGATATGGTAACTGCTTGATTGTCACATTTCAGTTTGAAACATGTTACAAGTTTTATTTCAAAAAATGAAAATATTATTGAAAAAGTAAATACAAATACTCATTGACAAAAACTATTTACTAGGGATGGCAATTTCTAACTGGTTAACTGATTACTCGGTTGGAACGATGGCAATCGGTTAGAAAATCTGCAATCGATTAGTCGTAAAAAAATTATAATATATTAAAACTGAAGGCAATGTACTAAAATTCATTTTCAAAATAGAAATTCCTACCTAATCATTTAATTTAGCGTTTTCATTTATTTATTTAGGCTGATTGGGAGGTCATTATGGCTCTCCAGATTAAAATTGTGGGGTAATTGGTCAGTCTGAGATATGTTAATTACTGTTAAAACATCATGTCGTTACCCCGACTGTCCTCTAATTCTTTAATGATAATAATCATCGTTGAGCACCATGAATTGGTGTGTGTGTATCTTTTGCAGTTATCTATCACATTAGATTATAATACAAACATTGTAAATTAAGGGGATGAAGGACACATGGTCACATGACTCTTTTTATCTACGTCATAATCTCCATTTATATAAGTCCAAAACGTGTAAAGCATCAGTTCTTGTATAATTTTTTGACATTTTTTTTTTAACTTAAATTGCCATCTTATATAAAAAAGTAAAAAGTTTTAACATTCATGTAAACATTAACAAATTATGAAAAAGATTGATCCACTCCTCTGTTTCCCTAAACTGCGCGTCCATAAGTCGGTGACGTCATACACGATCTATCAGTACAGCAAGATCATACTCGGTGAATACAGGGGCGGTATTATTATGTAAAATCAGGTCATAATCAGTATGTGATGAAATATTTTGAGAAACGGGGAACATAAAAATTATGATTGCATGGCTGATGACAGAAATCTTATGTAGGCATATCTTATTTCGCTTATTTAGCTTACATGTGACGTCATAGTTGGTTTTTCCCGTACTCAAGAAATGTAAATATGACACGTTTTGTCATGCTTATGTCCTCTGTAATGATGTCCTGTGCAATACTGAGGTCAGCTTCACCATTCAAAATTTTTAAAGTTAACCAATAATTTGAAGGACTTCCATTTCAACATAAATTTAAAAATATTGAATGATAGAATTTTTTGTAAATTACGTTTTTTTTGTTGCTTAAGTTGTCTCAAAAAGTAATTTTCCCTATCCAGATGCGGTGTGACAGGATAAAATTGCTTTTTCGAATTTTAAACCTATTCATACTCTGAAATATTTTAAGAGATACTTGTCCACTTGCATATTTTTTTTATATATGCTTAAAAAATCCCATTATGGACAGAGTATTGGGCCCGGAAACATGAAGAATTAAAACTCCACTTAGATACTGCAGGGCATAGTATTTGTCAATCAATATCTCTAAAATAAGGTCAGAAACCTACTGATATAACTGCTTTAAGATATGTGGGATATACTAAATTAGAAATATACAAAATATGAAAAAAATTGAATGACAAGGATTTTTTTGAGCTCAAGGTCCTTCTTCCCCTTAAGTGATACAATTTAGACTTAGTTTTGATTATGGTGATAATGAAGAATGAACTTGTGTGACATCCGCTCATGAAAATTATCCACGATATCTCAGGCATGGTTCATGGTTTTCTGAATTTTTTCTTGTCTATTGAAAAAAAATATGCGCGTAGTTTTATGATCAAGAAAGACAAATAGAATGATTTTGACCTCTAACAACTTTTTTAAAGACTTCTTGTGCATAGGAATAGAGGTACTTGAAAAAAGTCAAGAAAATGACATTGTGTAGTTTGATACGATTAACCAATTAATTGGTCGGAACATTTTGCGGTTAACCGATTTGCAATTCTGTATTCGATTGCCAGTGGCTGCAACGTTATTGTTGACAAAAGAATCGTGTAGAATCGTTCGTGTAACATGCGTGATCGTTCGTGTAACGTGCGAGATCGTGCGTGTATCAGACTCAATCGTTTGCGGTTTAAATCGTGCGTGATTGTGCATTAAGAAACGTGTAAATTTTGTTTTGTAAGTTTTTATTGGAATGTTTTTGTTATACAAGCATTTCACTTGTATGTTTTTTTTTTTTACAATCCAAATTAAAAAGAAATGAAGCGCGATTTACATAATTGAAAACAGAATGAACTAATTATCGCTTGGAAATAAACAATATAGTAAGTCGTACAATATTGTGTTCTCGTCAAATAGCATGATTTTTTTTCTGATAAACCGTACTTAGATGTTTGATTTTTTTCTCTGATGTTAATTATATTTATTGCTAATTATGGTCAAGATATTTTTAAAATCAATAGATCAAAAATAAACATTTTTACAAATAAATAATTCTCAATGCTTACATAAGTATTTAGTCGGTGAATGTACATTTACACGACATGATTCTCAGGGTTTCGTTTATCAGTGTTATCTCTGGAGGTTACTTTTGATTATTTTTTTTAATTTCTGCAAATAAATGATTTGTAAAATAATTGTTGATTTTAGAGATTCACAAATTGAAATGTGGATATAACTTATAATTTAATTCATTTTCATGCCATTTTTTTCAAACTTATCCCTTTCTGCATATTATGAAATCCAATTCAATCAAAACTCACGGTCCACCTACATGTACATCTTCTGATAGAACGAGAAAAAAACAATCAGTTTTCTAAAGTCAGAGAATTACATAAATAATTTTTTGTAATCTAAAATAATTCATAAATCTTACATGTATTTAGTTCCAGAAATATCCATTTCTATTTTTTTTTTTCATTTTTCAAAGTCGATGAAATAAAATCAATCATTATTTGAAATCTAAGATAAGTATTAAGCCTTATTTCTTTTTGAAAATATCCATTCCTAAAGAATTTGAACTATTTTGCGTTAAGAATCGTGAGTTTACGTTAGCAATCATGTAAGATTGTGTAACGTGTAGAATCGTGTGTGTGAAGGATCGTTCGTGTAACAGATTTTATCGTGTGTGAATCGTGCGGAATCGTTCGTCTAACGTGATCGTTCGTGTAAGTTGTCAACAATAACGTTGCAGCTACTGTATCTACTAAGTGATTAGTATGTAAATTGTAACTGGTTACAAAACTGGTTATGAAAATTTTAACTGGTTATGATCTTTCTTAATAGTTAATAAACCAGTTAATCATTGCCATCCTTATCATGCTTATTCCAAAGATACTTTGTGACAAGTTTGGTTTAAACTTGTCCAGTAGTTCTTGAGAAGAAGTTGAAAAATGTGAAAAGTTTATGCATGACCCAAGCCCTTGCTTATGCAAAAACATCCAAAAACAGATAGAAATATGTTACCATGGTTACCTAGGTAATTCAGTTAACTTATATCAAACCACACATTGTCGTATAAATAAGACAAAGACTAAGTGCTTTTCAAGGGTCCAGATCAGCATTCAGTCAGTATCAAAGTATCATGGTCTTTAGAGTTTTGTATATGCCTTTTGTCTTCAATGGTAACCTGTACTTATACATGTACTTAAATATGGCCATTGAGGAGACCACTTATAATTAGGCATAAAGTAGACCAGTGAGAAAAATTGAGTAAATTGAATTAACCTTTGATATCAAGTATATACAGTATATAAATATACCATTCTAATGATCTTATTCACTATATGCATCAATACCCTGTATTATATTATACTGCATATTAAATTAAAACTTATTTATTGTGTCACAACTGAAGTTTTGCTGGACTGAAAGACATAAAGATGGACAATATGTGAATCCTATAGAGCTTTATCATTTCATGCAGGCCCTAATTAACATTCAATCAGTGATAAAGTACCTTGCACTTAGATTTTTATATTTACCTTTGTCTGCTATAGCAACCTGTACTTATACATATGTTATACTTAAATATGGCCATTGAGGAGACCACTTATAATTGGGCATAAAGTAGACCACTGAGAAAAATTGTTGATATCAAGTATATACAGTATATAATACACCATTCTAATGATCTCATTTACTGTATGCATCAATACCCTGTATAGTATTACACTGCATAAACTAAAACTTGTTTATTGTGTCACAACTGAAGTGTTAATTGCTGGCTGAAAGACATATAAAGATGGACAATGTGAATCCTATATAGCTTTAACATTTCATGCAGGCCCTAATTAACATTCAATCAGTGATAAAGTACCTTGCACTTTAGATTTTTTATATTTACCTTTTGTCTGCTATAGCAACCTAGTTCTTATACTTAAATATGGCAATTATGGAAACTGCTGATAATTGGGCATAAAGTAAACCACATAGAAAAAATAAATATACTTAATGGGAAAATTTTACTGTACTCACTGTTAATAGCAAGTACATTTATATGCATGTATTATAGATATATACAGTGGTGCCTTGTTTATCCGGACGCCTCTTTGGCTTAAGTTTGTTAAAAATAATATTGATTAATTTTGAACTGTTTCTTATTTGGGCTAGTAATTTTTTCCTAATCAGTAGCCCCTGGGCTAGTGAGATTTCCAGGAAAATTTCAACCCCTGAAGATAAGTATGAAAAAGTCATTTCTTGAAAAATTACCATCCGGATAAACGAGTCATTTTTCAATGAACTATTACGTTTTGTAGTAGAAATCTACCGTTCGGATGTGGAACACGAATTTCTGGATTAATGAGACAGAATGACATGGAAAAAAATCTATTCCCGAAAAATAGCATCTGGAAGGTGAAGTGTTCGGATAAACATGGCGCCACTGTATATACCATAAATGACTATGACCTATGGTACATATAGTCAGAGAAAAACAATCAATTAAAGCTGACCACATCTCATAAATAGGCATACACCATATTCGATTAAATATCATCTACTATATCAGCACCAGGGTATACTCTTCGCATTTGTTACACCTGACTGCTTTATTGTCACAGGTATCGGAGTGGAATGGTGACACATGCTCATGCTGGTTATCTTGCATTGCCTTTGTTTATTTATTTTATTGCAGTTACGTGTACTTGTGTAGTTTGTATACTGCACTGACCTGTGCGACTGTTGTAAGTTTCAATGGCATCTTTCTCTCCTGCCGTGAAAGAAGTACAGTGGCGCCTCGTTAATCCGGACGACTCCGTCCCCAACGAAATCGTCCGGATAAATGAATCGTCCGGATAAGTGAATCACTTCTTTAAAGACGTACCCTCTCAAAGCATGTACATATGAACATAGTGGTATCAAATGTGAAGGCAAAGAAAACACTTTTATTTTACCTTGACTTATTGATTTTATTTTTATAGTTTTAAAAGAAATAATTAATATTTAAAAAAGAAAAAATAAAATGTAATTTACACGATGAAAAATGGATAAGCAGTTTTATGTTGAGACTTCCTTTTCTAACACAGGAAACTTTACTCGCCTTCTATTTGACGTGTAGTTACATGGGCTGACCAGATTTTGATCTGCTACTGTTATATTTTGGCACATTTTTTTTATTTATTCAAGCCCATATTAAGTAGAACTGTTCATTATCACCATTGAGAATGTTCAAGTGACTAACCGCGTATATTCACTACATAGGGAAGTAAGTAACTAAAAACTGTAATCAGTGTACTTATTGCAAACATTCAACGTAAACACAAGCCATATTCAGGATTATCAATACTTTTTCTATAAACTCTAAGTATATACCTTGAAAAAATGTGATCGGCATTTATAACTAACACCAGTTACGTATTTCTTAGTGCATTAATAGAAATATATTTTCTTGAATTATATATCATAATAAATTGTCTTACGAAAAGAAAAAAAAACGTTTCAAATACTGTACGATCGTAATTTGATAAACATACGCAATACTACAACGAAATCTCGTGATTTATTATTCAGTAAAAAAAAATATTTACAACTCTCCAAAATTCTCATAAATTTATATACCGTTAGCAATTTATTCTATTCTGAACGAATTTATATTTAATTAATGCACAGTGTAAGCTAAATTCTTCGGGCTTTATAATATAAAAGACGTGTGTTTTATCCGAGGTAAACACACGCTAATTATAGACGCTATTGTTTAGAGGTCACTGGTAACCGCCTTCAAACTGACTCCACGGACAATGTTTTTACAATAATTATCACTACTGCAAGAAAGGTGTGAAAAGTCGTTCCTCGAAAAATTACCGTCCGGATAAACGAGTCATTTTTCAATGAAATATTACGTTTTGTAGTAGAAATTGACCGTCCGGATCCGGAACGCGAATTTCCGGATTAATGAGACCAGAATAACGTGGAAAAAATCGGTTCCCGAAAAATATCGTCCGGAAGGTGAAGCGTCCGGATTATTGGCGTCCGGATTACCGCGGCGCCACTGTACACAGTAATTTTTTGTTGCTACCCAGAGCTATGTAGCATACGTCAGTCTGTCTATACAGACAGGTGACAACAGATTACACTGAACAGTGACTAAGTGAGTGGCTTATATAGGGACCCTACAATATAGCGTGAATAAAGGAATATGGCGGAAAAATTCCTTTTACAGTGTGTTCAGATTTAAAATCACTAACTTTAAAGCAAACTAATGGATTACATACCTTTTCCCATAATTCACTTCAAATTCCTACTCATCATGTACGGCTACTTCAGAATCTCACATGTATACATTCTTTGACTTTTCTATAGGAACATTATTTCCTACAATGTACAATCACATTTTAAAACATTCAAATATTACTTCCAATTGGACATAATTGGTAGTTCACAAGCGAGAAAGCTCACTCAGTAGTTGGATTGATTGTTTAATTGTATGTCGTTTTACATCCTGTTTAAGAATTTTTCACTAAAATAGAGATGTCACCATATAATGGTCAATAATCTTTTCAACAGTTTTTTTCTAAAGAGATTTCAGGCTGTCTTTACTGCAATTGTCAGTCTACATTACCACCCATTGTGGTATACTGATCCCGATTTGTTTTCATAGGATTTAAGTTTTAGTTTGTGTGATAACTGGATATCAAAAAGTTTCAAAGTAGAGTGTCATGAGCTCATCAATGCTAATTATCAAAACACTACTTCTAGAAAATCAAAACATTTAAGTTAAATTAACCATTCAAAATATTTTTTGAAAAGTAAAACAAAGGTCAAAGTCAAGTGAACTATAATGCTGGTATTTTTCATTATAATTCATGATAAATTGTGCACATGCTATTAATAGCATAGACTTACCTCTTTTAAATTATCAAAAATATGCTGAATATTGGCACTTTAAACTTTTTTATAAGTAGGTCAAAGGTAAGTTCAAGGATCACAAGATTGGCAACCATGGTATTTAAAAAAAGTCAGAGTGCCAAGCAAAATATTAACCAAATATCAAAAACAATTAAACCTCTTACAATTCTTGAGATATAAGGTGTGACAGATGGACAGACAGACAGACGCCAGGTAAATTGATCCCTAGGTGTTGCACTGATGTGCAGTCGACTCACAAAAAATGTTCTTCAGACTTATTTATCATTGGAATGACTAGTAAACACCAAACTGAACTTAACCTGCTTAAGTGAGCCAGTAGTGCCCAGTACAGAGCAACAAGTGCTGTGAACAGCGAGTGAAGTGTGACCGATTGATTGAGTGTTGTTTTATGTCCATTCGAGAATTCGAGAGTGAAGGGTTAAATAATTACAATAAAATGTAATAAGGAGGCAAGTCTGCCTCACCATAACCTGGTTCTTTGTGGCCCTATTTTTAACCTTCATACCCATCTCCACTGGGAATTCATTTCCTTCTCCCCCAACAATCACTTCATGACTCCATAAGCAGCCAAAGGCTGTAATGGGCAACTAGTTCATTAACAGCTAGGGCTATCAGGAATTCAAAGTCACTGAAGTTCTTTTGGTTTTTATGATACTATCAAACTATCAGTCTATCACTGAGTATCTGCATGCTTTAAAAGTTAGTATTTACCCCTGATTTGCTTTAATTAAAGCTTTTGTGTCTATTTTCTGCTAACAATTTATTTACAGTTTATAACTAATAAAGCAGCAAATACTAGTATACCTTACCCCATGTTGCAGATTCTCTTCATCCAAGTAATTGATGTACATTGTACTTAATCTCTTCATTTGTTCATCTGGATCCTTTCACTGCATTCATACAGTACCAGTAACTGTTATATATGGATATATTTCTTTGTCAAAGCTGTCACTTTTTAGGCACAATTGCTAAGTTTGCATCTTTATCAGCATTATTTATTAATGAAATGACAAATTCCATCAGACACACCTGCAAAAATGAAAACAAAATCTATTAATTTACATATAATCATGTCCATATTCTCTTGACTTCATTATTATATAATTGAACTGTTTTATACTGCACTGCAAATATAAAGGGCTGGGATAATACACTTTCGTCTACTATTCTATATCTAATATACTATATTAGGTATCACAATATTTATGCTACAATACAGATCACAATATCTTTAATCAGTTATATTTTTTTCATTTTATATTAAAATGAGACAAAGTTTGACACCATGCATATCCAAAGTCTCTAAAAATTTACAATTTTAGTCATGTATATGTGTTATGCAAGGGTGTATCTGTCAGTATTTCCAAAATTTATCAAGCATGACATTTAAATTGATACAAATATTTTGATTTCAGCTTTTCTTTTTCAAGAAGTTCGACTTAAATATTCTTTGATAATTTTTAAATCAAAATAAAATCAAAAACTTTTAATTTCTTCATTTTATTTGCTTGGAAAATAATTATTTTTTTCTTTTGTATTTGTACGAGTATTTAGTTGAAACTAGTTCTACATGTATATTAGCTAATCAGTGAAAATCTGTATGTTTGATTTACATGCCTGTGTGTGCATTATATTACAAATCATGGGATCTGTGCTTGTAGGTGCACTCAATGTTTTAAAGTTATTCATAATTTGAGAATTATTGTCTCTTTTTTTTATTGTCAGTATATTTAAACCAATATTTTTTGGTTTTACAAAATAATATGAATTTATATTTTCTTTTTTAAAAGAGATGATGCGAATTATAATTTCAATTTTAATTTTGTTTATATATTGTTGCTGTGATCTCAATAACCTAGATTAGAATGTTCTAATCATTAAAATGATATTGTCCTACGTTCCGTGTATTGGCAATTTATCAAAATAAGCAAGTTCGATAACTCGAACTGACTGCATTTTCTATGAACAATCCAGAGAGTTCCGAATTCAACATGGCGTGTAAAGGACAAGATAGGCTAAGACCCCTTTTTGGCCCCTGGTTTGGGGTGTTGTTTAGAATGATACAACAGTTTATCAATAGAAACCTGTTGTCACCCCTGCCAGAAAATGAGTATTGGTTCTAAGTTATGTGATACATACAGGTCACAGGAAGATCAGAAAATATGTCAATTTCCGAATTTTCTCATTTTATGCAAATGTTCATCGATTTTACAGAACATTTTGTTTCAGAAAACATAGAGCACAAGCTTGCCTATCTACCAAATTTATATATTTCATATATATATTATTATAACAGTAACTTGATCCAAAGAGTCGTATCACGTCGAGTTGACAGGCGTGGATCATCAGATCAAACGAGATGCGAAGCGTCGAGTTTGATCTGATGATCCGCACCTGTCAACGAGACGTGATACGGCTCTTCGGATCAAGTTACTGTTATAATGATAAATTTATTATATACCCCCTTACAACTAACAAGATATAGTTTTAAAAACTTCTGAGATTAATTATTTAATATTTTTCCATTAAACAAAGCATTCTGTCAAGGGACTTTTTGATGCGCAAGAAAAATAACGTCATGTTTCTGTGTACTATGTCATCAATTTCAGAGAGGGCTGATATGGATTCAGAAAACCACAGTGTGGTGATCCGGAAAGTCGGATCACAGCGTCACGTGATTGTACAAAATCTACAGTAAAATTGAGTGATACACTGTTGGGTATATAATAAATACTAGTATCAGATGCATCTTATGTATAAAAATCTCAGATAGGCAAGCTTGTGCTCTATATTTCCCGAAGTGAAAAGTATATCAAATTTGAGGATATTCCAATAGAATTGAGAAAATTCAGGAAATTGTCCTACTTCTGCACCCTCTTCTGGTCTCCATGTAAGCTTTGAATCAAAATTAGTGCTGGTTTTAAAACAAGCATCATTTTTAGTTCTTAACTACAAACTATCACTATTTTAACTATGTTCTGATTTTTACATCAAATAAGGGGCCAGATTCTGCCGTTACCATACCTTGTCCTTTGAAGTGAGGAAAAAAGGTTGAGAAAATGAGTTGAATTTTCTTATTTCTATGGATTATTTTTTAGGTTAAAAGGCATATAAAATCTCAAAAAGGTTTGTTATGATTAATTTGATAGTTATTTTCAGTGCAATTTTTTTTGTATTCTTCAAAATCATTTCTGAGCGGATCCTTTCCAATATGCTACATTGCTAGTATATGGGACATATTCTAACTGTGGTGATCGAGGGCTTGTTCCGAGACAAAGTTAGATTGTTCTAACTAGAAATAACCCAACACATATATCTTGTAAGTCGAACACATGTATTTCGCAAATTCAATAAATAATTCCAAAAAAAAGAAGAAAACTTGTAAAAAGGTATTCCATAGAGAAAATTACCCAGAAAACGTTGTAGCATAACAAACACTGACATATACTCGAACAAAACTTAAGTTAAGTATGAGAAATAATCAGATAATGGGTCAAAATCACACCAGTGACCACCTACCCTAATCAACTGTTTTCCACAAAAAAAAAATTATATACTTATATGTCAATCTACTTCCAAAATTACATGTTTTCCAAGATCTTACAAAATTATTTTTACAGTATGTCTCTTCAAATATTTGTTTTCCTGCTTAATAGTACTGATCAGATGATAATGGGAGGGTGATATTAAGACAGTATGTCCTCATAAACTTTTAGTCCCAGACCTATGAAGTTGAACACCATATTTTTTTAGCGCAACATACAAAGAACTATGTAGCAACCTATGATCTACAGCACATGTAATTTTCATAATGCTAGCTCACATCATAAGGAATACATGTATGACTAGCTGCTTGCATGGCGCAGTGGTTTAAGTGTTTGCTTTAGAGTCACAGATAAAGGAGTTGATCCTAGCATCACAGGTTCGAATCCCACTGCAGGATGTGGAGACCGGTGTTCAAATGAAACTGAGGTCCCATGTTGTAGTAGGTGCTGGCATGAACAAAATTACTCATTGCTCAAGGGTACTGAGTACAGAGGTTCTCAAGTGCTGGCTTTTCAATATGAGTGAAAAGTTATCGAAAGAAACATTATAGAAACAAATAAATATGACTATAAATAATTATCTTTTCTTACCATTATGGATGTTGTACATGTCCCTTTCGATAATGAAAAAAATCTTTTTCTGTCAACTTCTCATTTTCTCACGCGATTTTTTCTTGCTAATCTTCTCTCCAACATACCGGAGAAGGTATTCTCGCATGTTATGTGGTACCGAACACACTATAATAAAAATAAATGCATAAATGCAAACAAGTCAACAAAATCTAATTTATTCAGAGACTTGGTTTAAAATGTCTCAGACTGTCATAAATCTCACCCTAGGCAGTTAAAAATTTCCTCAGAAATCTTGTCAGAATTTTAAAAATATAATTTCAAAAAAAAATTCATGGGAAAATATACAGCATATATATAGCCATTGTACAAAATGCAGGAATTAAACTTTCCTGGAAAGTTTAAAAATTGAAACTGTAAAAATATTATCATACCATCAAACCATGTCCATGCTGATCAAAAGACTCAACAATGTATTAACTAACCCGATCAAAATTAAACTGAACCCGACCGAAAGTTTCTAATCTACATATGTAGATATACAAGTAATATATGTAGACTCTGCATAACAATTTTATTAAAATAAAAAAAATATTGCTTGTTATATGGTTTTATAACTAAATTGAGAGTATAAGCAAGTTAATTTCTCCATGGCAACTGCATAAAATAAACAGTATTTTTTTCATTATATGTTAAAAAAAAAAATGCTTAAATTGATCAGGATCTGTTTCATATGAATCAGGACTTGTTCAAGCTTGACAATGACAACAAGCAATTTTTCTTAGGGTCTCTTTTATTATTTAATTTCAACTTCTTTCTGAAATTATGATTATCTTCTAATATTTCTTTTCAAAATGAAACACTTAATAGGTTTATAAATAAATGAAACATTAAAAAAAAAAAATCAATAAATACAGGCCCGTAAGAAGCAATTTCAGTTTGGGGGAGGGGGGACAGCCATGCATTTTCTTTGGGGGGCACTAACAACCAAAAATTCCTTGACAAGCTTAAAAAAAAAGGTCATCAGGCGTTTTTATTGAGGGGGCACAAGCATATAGTAGCTATGTTTTCTTTAGTATTCTATATTTCGGCAAAATTATTGGGAGCACCCCCCCCCCCCCCCGTTCCTACGGCCATGAAATAAAGTTTTACATGATTGTTAAGTAATAAAGACAATGCAATAAATTCTGCAAAGTAATTCAAATAGTTGAGGTAATTTTTACTTATGTGTAGACTGATTTACTAGTACTTTCATAATTATAAATATATTCTCCCATAAAATTAGAATAAATTCATGATAAAGGAAATAATTTACCCTGAACATGTTGAACATGCAATACATTTTTGAGTCATTTAAGTTGTTAAAGACAAAATTCTCATTTGCCCAATTAAATTTGAGATACATGTACTAATTAAGTGACCTGTAAAGGTACAATTGTAGATCTCTAATAAAATCTGAGAAATTAAATCAGCAGTGCTGTAGATCGAAACTCTTTAACGGTGGTGATGTTAACTGAGTCTACTGTTATAGAAAAAATATTGCAAGAATTATACAGTATATCTTTTGTTACTCAATCATGGAAAGTGTAATACATATAACTATTAACTGATATGCTCATCTCTGATATAACCTGTTATAATTAATCCTCCATTCATGCCAAAAGGTACAGTGTAATAGATTGTTTAGAATATCATTTGCGTATAATAATATTATTACTTTCTACTACATGTAATGTGTCGGCTAGTGTGATGTCACAGATTTAACTTGAGGCGCAAATGATGGGTAAGCAAGGAGGCTGATGCAGACCTAATATAATACTTGAATTTTGGCTTAATTTTTATTTCCAGTTATAGGAATATTTTTGTCATTAAACAGAAAGTTAGACTGTAAGTATGGGTACAAAAATGCGCATTGTCAAAAATGCTTCTTTTTTTGGCATTTGCAACAAAATGAAATTAATAGATAACAATTTATCATCAACTTTCCCCCCCCCCCCTTTTTCAACCAAATTTCTATCCTTAAAAAAAATGATGTGTAGCCTACAGCCTTTTTGCCTATATGGAATATACACCACAAAATATTTCCACACATCCTGCACCCAAACCCCACTTCTAACCCGATCAAAAATATTAATCTGGTCCCTTTGAATTTTTTAGCAGTTTGTAGCCCTTAATTCCTCTTTATTTTTGAAGATATTTCAAAATTGTTGCTATATTGGGCTTGTCCAAATCAACTTTATGTTTTATGTACAAGAAATCTAAGGGGGATGCTGTCAGATACATAAATTTGTATGTACATATATGCATGTATGTATCCGCTGCCATAGACATCAGAGATGTGGTATCGTGGTTGGAGGGGGGGGGGGGGGGGCTCCTCCCCTCCCCAATTAATCTTTTACTATTAAAATTGTTCAGGAAAGGCTGGTTGGATTAGGCTGTGAAAAAAGTTTGAACCTAGAAACACCTTACTCCCATTTCCAACCCAACCCTACCCCACATATAATAGGAAATCAGAGTTAGTATTTCAGGTAAATTATCGAATATTTAATTTATCTCCGCAAGAACAATACCACCAGCCTAATATTATGCTATTCAGTATATATTTATGAATAAGCAGAGATTACAATTATTTTGTTCAAGTACATGTAATCAATTGTTAGGAACAAGTAAATTGTAAGAACTTGTTTCCGATCCATTTGCTTATGTCAATAAAATATGTTCAAAACAAACAAACGATCTGTTGAAACCACGCTGTTGGTAAACTACAATTCGAATTTCCTCCATGCTAATAAGTATACGTAAGTCTTTATCAATGAATAAATACCAGACGTTAACCGCAAGATATTGGGTGCATAATATATAGTCAATATATCATGAATAAGTATTTTTAAAAAATCATAATTTGTTATTACTTACCAAAATTTTGTCTGACTCCTATTTCTCCGAAGGTCGTAAAGGATACCGAGGTTTTCCGAAAATTTTCGGAAGGCATTGCGCACGAAAACCTTGAAGTTGATGAACACGAAACTCCAAAGCTCATTTTCTCGTAAAAAGTTTTATTCTATTTAGCAAATTGTACATACCCAAAATTAGTGGGAGAACAATATCTAAAACTAAATACTAGGAGAAATAAGACATATATAGCAGATCTTATTTAATTTTGCAAGTTTTAGCTGGTCTACATAATGACGATATATAATAATACCAATATATACGTTGCTTGAAATTTAAATTTAAAAATTTCTATAATCATAAAATTTTGGCATATTTTTTGTATTTAAGGGACAAAAATATACTAAACTAAAATTAACTATTGTCAATTTAATATTAAAAAGTCATTAATTTTCTGTTCAGAGAGGGTCAAAATGTTAAGGCGACCGGTTCTGGTCCACTTATTCTACGAGGCTACTTAATGCCAATATATAAATATGAGCGGTCTCCTAAATGGCACAACCATATATATATATATATATATATATATATATATATATATATATATATATATATATATATATATATATATATATATATATATATATATATATATATATATATATATATATATATATATATAGTCATATAATAAAAGATTAGGAACATGTATTTCCAGAAAATTAAACAATAAAATATAGATTTTATTATGAAATTTTGAGAAAGCCAAGAATTTTCCATGTCAGTTATTACGTATCCATAATATATGTGTCTCCCTCATTTGATGATATTGCATTTTCAAAACAGAGCATTGAAATTACAGTGTATGTATACATGACGAATTATGACGATGCAATAGAGTAAGTGAAATACTAAATTATACCACGATCAATCCCATTGTATAATTCAGCAGCCACTCCAATCCAAGATGGTTGAGTAAATACGCTATTGATTGAGGTACAGGTTCTGTTGATGTCGTTCAAGAATACATTGGAAAATAAGTATGACGACGAATTTGCAGATTTACAATATTTCATTGCATCTGACCATGTTCCAAAGGGACGTTTTTCTGGAACATCTGAAATAGAACTAAAGTGTATTAAATTTGTTGACTTACTTTTCGTAGTATATACTAATATTTGTACGACATTATGAATATAATTATGTTTTGAATATCACGATTGTATATGTACCAAGCGATGAAAATCTTTATTGATCATTTCATGCATTCTAAAAAAAATTAATAAAAATAAAAATAAAAGTTGCGAAAGAAACGAAACGTGATTGATTACAAAACATAGTTGTGTTTAAGCCTTTTTCATTAAATGTACATGTACAAAATACTTCAACGTAAGAAAAGCATTAAACTACATGTAGTAAATTGTTGTCACCGATAATGCCCATTTTTTGTGGAAAAAAATAGCTAGACAGTATTTATATTGTTACACTGAAAAATTTTATCAGCTAACATTCTTATCAAATTAAATGTAGATTCGGCTTAAATAAAATAACATACCACAACTTTGGCATAATGGTTTGTATCCACGAGTACAGTTACTTTCCAGGTAAAATTTCGGAAATTTTGTGCAGTGAATACCAATACAAAATGAATCATTTTTTGTATATTTATTGTTTTCCATATCTGTAAAAAAAAAATGATTTATTTCATTTGGATTCATATAAGCTGTTCAGTGATGAATGGCATATTTTATCTACATACACCTTTTTTTATTTTAGATTTTCTTTTGTTTTGATGAAACGATGACTACAACTGACAATTGATCTCAATCACAGAAAATCACATTTTCTTTAATGATAATAATAATAAAAACTCTTAAATTTCAGATATTGGAGGGTGAATAAGATATGGAGGTAACGAACAGTAATCAAGCTCAAACTCCATTGAAACAATACAAATCGGAAGCAGAGCAAATAGGGGCCTTTAAAAGTATAAAAGGTGGGATCAGGGGCCATGGAGGAGTAAGCATTCCCTGCCGACCGGTCAGACCCGCCGTGTGCTCCTTTTCAAATTCGGGCAAGCGTAAAATTCCGGAGACGACTCAGTGTGAAATTATGGCCTAACAATTAGTATGTAAAACGGCACTTAGCATTCGACTTAATGATAGATTGTATTTACTGACAAGGTCATTTTATCGACCATAGAACTTGCGAAATGTTGACTTCAAACGAAACTGTTGATATCCTTGTTTCATCAACTTGTTTTTCAATAGCTTGTCTCGTTTCAGAAATGTATCGCACATAGAGCGTGCTCTTCCGTATCCAATCAACTGGGAGATAAACTCCATATGCAGGTGATTAGGGTATACTGCTACATAATAAGGGAAATTGACAATAGAAAAGTTGAAGTCATCACGTTTATCATAAAGTTTTGTTGTTAATTTACCATTAATGTTTTATTCTAGTAAAATATCCAAACATGAAACAAGTGTGTCAGACTCTATGGTATCTTTTATTTCAAGTTCACGAGGATATATCGGGTTGACATATGAATGGAATTAATGAATATATCTAAATGTCGCGTTGAAGGCCAAAGCAAGTGTTTTTTTTTCTTCTCATGCAGAAGTTTTTGAATAAATGCTGCTTCATATGAATGCACAAATAGGCCCGACAATGAAGGAGCGCAATTGGAACCCATGGAAATTCCGATATATTGTTGGAAGCTTGATCTCCAAAAACTACATAGATATTGTCAATCAGAAACTCAAGCATGTATTAAATATCAACTTCGAGATACTTGTGTATACAATCAGAATAGTTTTTTTAACAAAATAATTTTGCAAATGACCAATGACAAAGTAAGTAATTTTACAAGTTCCATTTTTATTGAAAAAAGCAGATGTCTATAATGTCAAAAAGCCTGGACTTTAATTCATCGTGAAGAATTGTATTAATTAAGCTAGTTAAACGTAAATCGATTTTCTGTATATAAAGATTTCCATTACCTGAATGAAATACTGAGAATGCCTTTTGTCCACCACATTCGTCAAAATAATGGGTATCAGCTCCAATATTACATGTAACATTACATGTATCTGATGGTAATTCTTCATTCAAATTAGGAGGATTTTGTAAACATTTGCATTCCGATCCCTATGTAAACATTCCAAATTTCATGAGGGTAAATAAAATAACAATCATTACATCCTTTTTATAAGCCCTCAGATTTTTTTTCTCAAGCAAATCTACCCTTAAAAACAGACTTGCATATCTGATAAAAGTGTATATATGATTGTGTAAAAATAAATTAAAGAACGTCCGATGAATACGGTGAGAAACTTCAATTAGCAAAGGATGTTAGAAAAGTAATTCAAAGGTATATGTTCAGAAATGTCCTTCAAAATGTTCACATGAATTATAGTAATATCAAACGAGTTTATCAACAAGTATTCGACTATCGCTGCGAATTTCGATCGACAGTTATCACTCCTAAATCTTTAGTTTGGACATGCTTTTAAGGAGGCTGGGGGGTCAACAAATTAACCACCAGATTTAACTTAATTTTTTTTTTGATATGATATCTTAAGCTGTCAACTATCTTTTGGCAAAGAAAACTTTCAAAAATTTTAGTTTTAAAATTTGATCATTTTCTATATCTTCATATGGAGCTCTTCTTCTAAAGGAGATCAATATAGTCTAAAACTGGCCACAACCCCCCAGCCTCTTTATAGCTCACAATGAAAAGAGATAAAATGTCCATTCGATTAAGCTGAACTGGCTTTCCGCGATTGAATGACAAATAATGATATTAAATGCATTAAACTCAACATCAACGTCTTCAATGCAAACCTTTCGTGCATGTTCCCTAATGAGAAAAACAAATACCATAGTGTATAGTCTACAAAATAAGAAATTCAATCTCAAATGTGATCGTAAAGGATCGCCTACCTCTGAATGCTGTATACAGATACGCCTTTAAGAATTATTCTGATTGCTAACTCCAAATCATGAAATTCCGATAAGACCAGAAGTAATACAGTTCTATGATGAAAGACCTTGTGACCTACATATATCTTAATGTAACGGATATTCTCCGTTTATCACTTCTGATAATGGACAGAACAGCCAGAGCTATCTGTATCAACCTGTATCAAAATCCAGATCATCATGTGATGTTCCTAACCATGAACTGATACAAGATTATCAAACCGTTAGTATTTAACAAAACAGATGATGGAAGTAATATTTTTCAAAAAAGTTCAGAGTTTAACATTGTTTAATGGAAATAAAACTAGACCAAAAATGTACAAAAAGTACGATTTAAAGCTATAACGAGCTTGATCCAAAAGTATTGTCATATCGATCTGCAATAGAATCTTTAATAATCAAATGTTATCAACATATTTTAATATACTAATACCCCTTTCTATTATGATTTTTGCCTTAAAATTTCATTCGATTATATGAAATACTTTTTAAAAAACTTTCAAGATAAACACAACATTGGGTTTTGTCTATCGCCACACGACAAGAATGATACCGACGTCGCCATGATGTTTCTTGTCGGCACTTATTTTCAGTTCATCCCCAAATTTTTTTAACCTCTCACGTGCTTCTTTTTAATAATCTTTACTGCCATTTTGCTATAACCCCTTGTTTTGAGTTGTAGTGTTAAGTTATTTGAACTTTGCCCAAATGTTATTTCTAAATTATTCCCTTTTTGCATAAATCTTATGTATCATCAGATTCAAGTATCCAAGAGAAATGCCATGACGTCGGTACATTCTTGCCATGCGGCGATAGACGAGAACCATATTTTGATTATTTTAGTATTTCATAAAGTATTGCATATATATGAATGAAATTTTAGGACAAAAGTCAAAACAGATAGAAAAATTTGTATAAAAAATATTGTTGAAAACTTTCGACAATTAAAATTTTATAGCAGTTGAATCAACCCTCGTATTTAGGAACCATCAATGAGGTAAAGCTATCAAATGTCTCTAGCGTAATGGAAGAACTCTTGAAAGTTACTGCCTACATTTGCAGAATAAATGTTTATCTGAGTTGCGTTACTAATCCATTCATTACAGTGAAACTTGTTTAATCCGGATGTTGTGTATTCCGAAATCTTTCGTAATACGATCTAAGCTTAAAGTCCCTTAGTAAATATTGTTTAAAATGTTGTCTAATCCGGAATATTGTCTCATCCGACTAATGTCTCTGATACGAGTGGTGTCCGGATTAGACAAGTTTTACTGTACATGTATCTGTAGATTATTGCACAAATTCTAGAAATCCAAGCAGATGGCACTTCTATAGGCATAGACACATGGCCGTCTCAAAAGAAAGGCTGGCTTTCATATCCTCAATTTCAACAGAAAAAGGAGACACGAGGATGGAAATTGAAAGTTGCACGAACGAAATTCCCCTTACATTTATGAATAACATGCTCGGCCACTTGTCAATCAGAATCTGGATCTATATGTATGAGAGTCATTAGAAGAAAGTTTGAGCCAGATTGTGTGATTAAGATAGATATTTATATATAAAATATGATATTGATTACTAAGTAAATATTTACGGATTAAACTGAACAATTATAGCATGGTTAAGATCATGAATAACTTGTCTGAAAGTTGAAGCTAGCGTGATAAAAAGAAAATTAACGACTAGAATCATTCAACTTTATATAACCCATAAGAGTAAATTTGCCATTAATTATACATATATTTACCATATAATGTCATACAATACGATGTCATTCATTCCAGTAAAAAGTATGGCAATGAAAAACAAAGCATTGTCAGACATTTGTCATGCTTTGAAAAATGTTCACCTTTATTGCAAAAATGGTCTTGTTGAAAGACAAGCATATTTCTTGACAAAATCCTGCGGAGGGTAGTCGTTGCATATCATAACTCAATGAAAACGTCTGAAGTATCCTCTCTGGATAGCATCCTTAAATTATTAAATACATTGTTAAAGGTTATTTCACAAATACCGTACTACCTGAAAACTATGCATGTACCATGTACAGTGCTGCATTCCTTAAAGCTGACAAAAATAACCTATCGTGAATCCTGCACCCATAATCCTACCCTTTGATTTCAGCCTAATCCCATCCTATCTTATTTATCTAGATGTCATTTAAAAAAAAAACACTTTTTCGTTATCATCAAATCAAAAATCGTTTTGGTACCTTAACTTCATTTTGCCGAAGAAAAATAATTGCGATAGAACATCAATGAATTCCCAAAACAACCTGCAGGCATTTCATTTTGCGCTTACCAAGTTAAAATGTAATCAAAGTATAAAGTATTGCTCTTATGTATATGTGAAGTACAAGTTAAGACATTTGTCGATATATCCCATCAAACTCGAAATCAAGACACCACACGGTCTGAAAATTTCTGATTCATATTTGGATGTTTCACTAGAAAAAGACATTGATGGCAAACTAACAACAAAACTTTATGATAAACAAATGTGATGGCTTCATTTTTTCCTATCGTCAACGTCCGTTATTTATGTAGCAATATACCATTATTACTGCATATGGGGTTTTATCACCCAGTATATTCGATATGCAGAAGCATGTTCTAGATACAATAAATTTCTGAAACAGGGACGGCTATTGACAAATAAGTTGATGATACAAGGATATCAAGAATCTTGTTTAATGTCAACATTTCGCAATTTTTATGGTCGATGCAATTACCTTGTTTGCAAGTACTAGCTATAGTTAAGTCAAATGTTGGCACGTCTTTCATACAAATTATTAGGTCATTATTTCAACACTGAATTGTCTACGGATATTTCCGTGCACCCGATCTTGACAAAGAAGACACGGGGGGGGGGGGGTTGATCGGTCGCTAGGGGATGCTCTCTCCTCCCTTGACACCTGATCCCACCTCTGTTTTCAGATGTCGGTGTTTGCAATGCTCACAATTTGTATTGTTTGATTTTACTTTGAAAGTGATAACTGTTCGTTATCTTCACATTTCATGCATTTGCAATAAAATCGTGATCAAGAAAACATGTGTTTGACTTTCCGGATTGGCAACTGACAATATGAAATCTATTTATTGTATTTTTCCCCAGTATAGTTATTCTTTACGATTTTATACATTAATTGGTAAAACAAATGGGAGCTAAAAATTGAATTAAAAACGGGCTTCAAATTCCTTGATTCATTTAACGTTGGAATTCAGTGAGTTAACAAATGATACATGTATTTGCCTAAGGTAAACTCTCTCTCTCTCTCTCTCTCTCTCTCTCTCTCTCTCTCTGTATGTATGTATGTGTATATATCTCTATCAAAGTTCCTCAATTTTTTTTTTATTTTTCTCTTAATTATACCTGATATTTTTATCAACGTCGACTTCCGTCGATAATGTCCCACCCAGAAATATTCCGATGAATTATGGATAGCTTTTCTAATAAGTACGCTGTTGTTCCCTCTACATATTTCCTGCGCATCAAACCATGTGTATCTCTTGACTTCACACATCACATTTTCTGCATAAACAATATTTTCGATCAATACATAGATATGGAAATCCTTGAAGGTTATAAAAAGTTATACTTCTTAATTTTCTACGCTGAAATTATCTTGAATGTTTATGGATGAGATTTTATTAAACACAGATACCCTGTCGATAGAAATCATTTGCTTAACTTTAAATGTCAACACATCCAAATCTCTAAATATAAAAATGTATTTTGTAGAAAAACAAAACTCAGAAATGTAACTAAAAAAAAAGTTAAATTATGTTATTTGAGTCTGTTTATGCTCTAGAAAACAACGACCAGACGTTGACGATGAGTAAATGAGTAAATGAATATTAAAAGTCACCTCTGTTATACAGCAAATCAAACCATGTGACAAGGAAGTATACAGCACGCATGTTATCTGCGAATTGAAACATATGTTAACAATATTGATGAATTAAATACTAACATTTTGAATGAAGTCTGATTTGTAAGAAAGATTTTATTTTCCTGTTACATGTATTTAAGAATCAAATTCAGTAAGCATCAAGCATTTTGTGAAAAATGTAGAAAGTGGCATAAAAATATATTTGGTGAAAAGTCGTGTAAAAAAATTCAGAACAAAGGGCATAATATAAAAAGGCAACCAAAGAATAATTTTTCGCATCGTTACTATGAAAACCACTCCTTTTCAGAGAACGTGTTTTGTACTTTAGCATAACTTACACTAGAATTTATATTTGTTTGTTTGTTTGTTAATTGTTTAACGTCCCTCTCGAGAATTTTTCACTCATATGGAGACGCCACCACTTGCCGGTGGAGAGCTGCAAATTTTGACCTCTATTCGGCACTTAGGGCCATTGAGCAGTGAGGGATCTTTTTCGTGCCAGCACCTACTGCGACACGGGACCTCGGTTTATACGGTCTCATCCGAAGGACCGGTCTCCAAGTCCCACAGAGGGATTCGAACCCGCGACGTAAGGATCAACTCCTTACTCCGCGACTCTAGAGCGAACGCTCTATCCATTGCGCCACGCAGGCGAAGTAGAATTTATGATTAAGTAGATACATTTTTATTACTTGTCATTAATTAAAATAATCCCTTTAAATTACGTTTTATTCATATAAATATACTCCATCTTAACCTTGGATATTGAAATTCTTTTCACCTTTTGATAAATTAACCAGTTTTTTAAGGCTAACTTTGCTTCAATAAACCAGCAAATTTGAAGCACTTTATAAAAATCTACAACCACATCAAAACTTATCAAATATTTATTTTACACCATTTGTTCTAGAAGACTCAAGAAAAAAAATCCGTAGGCAACTCTAACATTTATGTATAAAACTTATCTAGATCCATAATTTTCTGTCACTTTTACTTCAAATTATCTTCCTTTGGCATAGCTCTCTAATATAGGAGGTAATTCACTTGTTGCTGATATTAAAACAATTTACCAGAGATTACTGGAATTAGATATCAATAAACATGTTTTACTTTAATCATCTTCGCAAAACGAATGGTTTTGCGTTATTGTATTTCCCCAAACCTGGGTTTGTAGAAATAGAATGGACACAAAACCTGTGGCTTTCAATGGGATTTGTTAGATGTTTAAAGTAGCTAGAAAGGGGTATGAAGGTACACAATTCTTAAAACACAGATTACATGGAAACCAAATTACATTATCTATGTTGTTTACATCCAAAAATGAAAAAGAAAAACTTTGTATAGATCAAATAACTTGATATTCAGACTTTGAATTTAAATTTTAAAAGAATTAAAAACAAACAAATAAAAAATGGGCTCAACTGGAAATACTGCCTAGTATATGAAGGCAAAGCTATATAATATTATCATATTTAATTTTCTCACTTTTTCAGATTTTTGAGTCTACATTATTCAGTTAGACCATTGATGCTGGAAGTCAGCGGTTAGTGGTTACCCTCAGGGAGCAAGAAAACAGATCCATGCAATGTATTCATGAAGGTGGATCAAATAAAAATGCTCAATCCAAAAGTAACGTTCTTTGTTTGTTTGTCAGCACGTTTTGGTTGTTGTGAACTAATAACTAAATTCATTCTTTGCATGCAGATTCATAATTAGATAAAACACATTTTTATATTCTGTATTTTGAAGTATCATATAACAAGGTCATTGAAGATCAATCAATTAATTTCAAAATTGTCAAAATGTTTTTGTGACAGATAAAAAAAAGAGGATGAGTTTAACATAAAGCTTTTATAATTCACTTTATCACATGTTTACCCCTTTATCTGATGGATATCATTCACTGGATATTATTAGTTATCCAGGCTCAATCAAGGGTGTACGGGTATTTTATTCCATACACCCTGAGGGCGAAGACCAAAGGGTGTATGGAATAGAACCCGGGGTAAATTCCTGTACACCCTTGATTGGACCTGGATAACGAATTTATTTCCTTTGTTACATAGTAAATTGTGTTTGTAAACCCAAGTCCCATTAATGGTGGTTCGAGCTATCGGTAAGATTTACTACGTGCTACAATGCATCGTGACGTCATGTTATAATCGGCCGCAGCAGCGGCCGGTCTATTTGTCGTTGTGTTTGAATGTGCACATGGGAAAAAGAGACGTTATTTTTTTCAATTCTTTATTTGGAATTATTCCTGATTGATAACATACATAAAAGTTAGGAATAAACGTTTTAAAAATTTACGAAATACTAAGTGTAAATTGTTATTATTACTTTCAATTTGTTTTTCATTCCTCATGAGATATTTATTAATTTTTGATTTTATAAAAAGTTGCTGGACATGAACTGTTCCCCAACATGAGCATACGTAAGATATAAAAACAAAACGCATTGAGTTTCCAGATATGAATTACAGTGCCTAGAGTAATTTTAAATAAATTGTAAAAAGTTTTAGATGAACTGAATTTTGTCTTGAATACACTACAGTTACAAAATGGAACAATGAAATTTCTTTCTGCACTTCACATTTATTGTGATACTAATATATCACAACGCTGATCGGCATTATCACTTGACAAAGATCCAGGGTATCAGCAAGTGAAGTTTGTAGATCCTTTATCGTCAGCATTCAGACATTTATTTGTTGCATTTGTCTTTGAATCAAATAATTTAATAGATAATACAGTCCCTATCTTTTATCTCAGTCCGATTTTTATATCCATGAATTTATTTATTTTTTCAATTCATCACTGAAAATTAAAGTATTAAAAATTACACAGAAATGTACATGAAAGGTAAGTGTAAAAATTTAAATATTACTTGAATTATCACAGAACTATTTTTAATTTTCTCGGAATGCCTCTAGAGTTTTGAAGTGAATCTAATATGTAAAAGGTAATAATTAGTAGAGAGAAAGGGAGAGAGAAAAATAATGTTCTCTAACTGCTGATCTTGGGAGCATACAGTCCAGGCTCGCAGGAACTGGGGGAGTGGGTGTCGAATTCAGGTATATCACAATTGTTATGCGATATAATTCGTACGCATTTATGGAGAGATAGCTCCTGCCCGCCACCCTGCAAGCGATACCAGAAAGCCTCAACCTTATCTATCCAGGATATAATTGTATCTCCAAAATAGATTTGCTTAACGGTATCACTCCAGTTTCATGAAATTATAAACATTTGAACTCTGTATATCAAATATCAGGGATTTGCAAAAGTGATTTTATCATTATGAATTTCTACTTCAGTTTATCAAGTGTTTTAACTTCATACTCTGCACTCTATTTTGTTACTTTTATTTATGGGTAGTTTTAAATATCAATTTTTGATTATGTACGTAATTTATACATGCTCAGGACTTGAATTACGTTCATGTCAATCATATTATATAATAGGTTTATATTTGTTGAATCAATATGAAAACAACAGTGAATCAAACCATCATTTATCTTTTTATCTCTTTTTTTATTTGTTGATAAAGAGGTAAATATGCTGAGCTACTTACAGTTTCTTCTTTCTCTTAGAGAGATCTGAGTTATTATTTGTGTTTAATCATATCCTTAAAAAACAACTTCCTTGTTTCTGTCCTAGTGACTTTTCTGTGTTATCGAATGAATTTGTGTAGCGGAAATTCTACACGCAAATTAAAGGGACACATCAGAATGAATCACTGCATGTATAAAGGATATCGTTATCTTATTCGTATGCATTTACACAAGTATTAAAAAGCTTCTTCTTTTTTGCTCTGAGATGTTGAAATACAATAATCTAAAACTTGCTTGATTGCATTTTTGGGGGGTCTTCTTTACCTACTAGACTATTCTGATTGATATGTATATTGAAACGTATTTAAAATTCAATATCTATAATCGATAATTTGTGATTAGAGATAATTCAAACTAGAAATTAGAATAGCTATAGTAGAGAGAAGACCATGTAAAGTATATAGCCAATGAGAATCAGTTTGCTTATTAGAAAAGCATAAAAACGCTGTCTTCTCAGTGCAGTAACACACAGTCAGTAGGACGGTCGAGTAGGACAGCTGCTGAATGCGGAAAACTTAGGATAAAGTAGTGACTGAACAAGTCTTTCCTTCCTTATCCTACATTTTTTAAACTTTTACTTAAAGTAAACATAGTTATACACAAGTGAGCCAGCAGTTGAAACATAATTGAAGCAACACATTTGGCTCTCCAGAAAGTCTGAAATGTCATCTCTTTGGCTTCAATAATGTTGCAGAATAAACAGTGGAATGTAATTTTTTCTCAGTTATTACAGGTAATAGTCTCGCTTTAGAAAAAAATTGGGGGAGGGGAGAAAAAAAATAACAACTTACCTGAACAATCTTTGACAAGGGAAAAAAGGGGATGCCTAAACTCAAAAATCCTTTTTCGTGAAGGGGGGGGGATTAAAACTTTTTTGACCAACATATTTTACTAATACATTCCCGTGGAATGATTCGACTATACTACAACAAAAAGTGAGGGAGGGGGAAGCGGCCTTTCAGTAAACATTTTCAACGGTAAAAGGTTATGTTAGGAAAAAAAGTGTGAGGTTGGGGGCTCTTCTGATGAGGTCATTATATCGACCATTGAATTTACGAAATACCGACTTTAAACGAAGTTGTTGAAATCCCTGTAACATCAACTTATCTGTTATTAGCCTGCCTCGGTTTAAAAGTTGATCGTACTCGGAGCATGCTTTGAATACTGAATAACTTGGGAGATGTAAACACCATATGCGGGTGATAGCGAGATATTACTACATGAATAAGGAAAGTTGACGATGGAAAAGTTGAAATTATTCTATAGTCAGTAAAACATTCAGATATGAAACAGATGTAGCAGACTGTATGTTGTCTTCTATTTCAAGTTCACTGGGATATATCGAATCGACATATGAATGAAAGTAACTATTGCTAATTGCTAATACATCGTCGATATATGTAAATGTCGAGTTG